TTTTAGATTACTCGACAAACTCTCATATAATTTTTTTTTGAAAAGCATGATTTATTTTATTTATTAGCCCAAAGCGGCAATTTGCCCAGAAAGGCTATTAATTTCGTTTTGGCATTTATCTTTGATTGACTATAAATGGTGAATCACTTTTTAAATTGTTGCCATCAAATACTAGAGCCGAGTATTATATTTAAAGAAATTGAATGATGAAGAATCTGCATAAATGTATGTATTTTTCTCGCGTTGTGATAAAACAACGGTGCCTAGAATCACATCAAATTTTGAATACGTGCGTCTGCACATGAACATCTGGAAGCCTAAATTTGGAACTTGGAGTATGTTTTATTATATATTTCATATTTTGTAAAGCATTTATGAGTTTTTTTATTAAGAACGATTTCAAAGCGAGCAATGACAACACTGTACGAATAAAAATAGATAAAAATATAATTTTTTATGTCCAGCGAAAACTGTGTATCGGAAATTTTAAAGCTATGCCCTTTTAAATATTTAAAAATATTGCTGTTGAATTGAATTTTATAGTTCAAGTGCAAAGAACATTATATTTAATAAATAAAGGTAACCCACAAAACGTTAAATAAAGCCCCTTTTGGCGTAATATAAAATCTGAAAGATTTCGGGTTTTTTTTTTTTTATTCTAACCTCCGAAATTATCGTTAATAGTTAATGATAAATAGCAAACAGCCAACTGTAATTTCGTACTCCTTTTTCTGTTGTTGTTATTAATGTTCCTGATTTGTATATTCAACCAGATCAGGTTCCCGTATTTGATCATGGTTAAAAAAGCAAAGCCTGTAGTGGTCTGAGTGTCTTTGGCATCTTATAAGAGGTATTACGGGTATGCTCAACCCCAATCCCAAAGCATGATAGAAAACACCCAAGAAACGAAACTGAGAGTTCTTCGCCAGTCTTTCCCTTACGTCAGCATTTCGAGATGATTTCTGGCTCGACAGTATTTCAAATACCTCTATAGCATTAAAATCAGTATTACCAGACCTCCATACCTCCTTCAGAATTCGAATCCGTATCCTTGGTTATGATAGACTGCTCTCATACAACCTTGACTCTCTTTTTTTCTACAGGCTGCAAATACTGTGAGTATCATTATGTTATTATTTACTATAACATTTACGAATATTTTATTACCATCATAAAAAAGCCTATGTTTTCCATTCTTCTTCTTTAGCTCTTTAGGTTATAAGGTATTTTTCCCGCCTTCGTGATGTAATTGTCAGCATACTCGATGTGTAATTGAGAGGTCCGAGGTTCGAATCCGGGAAGGGCATAGGACATTTTTCATGTCTTCTGCTTCGAAATCACCCAATAGCTCTACAAGATTGAAGCATAACAAATTATCTATTATGTAATAAACTCTGTTTAGTTTTAATCTGAAAAGAATTTATCTGTCAAATGCCAGCAACCGTAGTCTGTACTTTGTCGAAACTTAGCATTAAAAACTATTTGATGTTTTGAAAATGAGAAACTCTACTGTAATAGAGGTTCCATGACTTGTTCCTTATGCTCCTTGTCTGCAAATAACAGTATAAATGACATTATTAACATGTGAGAAAGACACATATCTCAGAAAATTTATCTTAAAGAAAAAGAAAAAAAAAAAAAAAACTGTTGTCTGTCGAAAATACATTGAGAACGAAAACGTCGCAGAGAAACAATACAAGATGAAAACGTCATCATAGAAAACACCGTGGGAGAAAAGAAAGCAAGGAGAAAACAACGCAGTTGTGAAACCTCAGGTTCAGATGGAAATGTAGTGTAACGCCCAATGTTTACTGTAAGTAATGTAGGTATAGTCCCAACTACACTTCAGTTTATTTTTAAAGTTAATATTCAAAATAGTACATAGTATAATATAACACATAATATAACAGTATAAATAGTATATCGATATTTTGATTGATATCATATCTATTAGATATAATTATAGAAGTTATAATAGGTATAATAATAGTAGACTAACAGTCATAATTTATAACAGTTCATAATAGTTCCTTGAAATAAAGCTTATTATATGAATTTGTATCTTCTTCCTCTTCTTTTTTTACTATATCATTATTATTGCAAGGGTAACCTCTTGGTACAACGGGGGTTGTAAAACCTCGTGGTACAAGACATCATCATCGAAAATAAAGCAGTTCAAAAACATTGCATCGCCCTCGAAATCATCGTAGAAACAAAAAAAATCGTCCTCGAAAATATTGTAGTAAAAAACAAAGAAAGGGAAACCTACAAAGCATCCATTGACATCCGTTTTCAGGCTTAAAAATTTCGCATATTAATATAATGATTTGTGAGCGTAAGAAGAAATGAGGAATAGTTTTATTTTTATATTTAATATTTTTGAATGAGTTAAAAATTTTTTACTGAAATCGTAAGAATCAAATTTAAGCATTTAAAACTGAAAATGCATAGAAAACCAATGCTAGACCTAGCAGCGAATAGAATTTTAAATTTATATAGCTAACTAAAAAAGATCATTAATGAATTAATCTCTTTTTTAAAGTTTTATTGTTCATTTTTAATGAAAAATATAGTCTAGAAAGATAGTCTAAAAGGTCATTAATGAATTAATCTCTTTTGTAAAGTTTTATTGTTCATTTTCAATGAAAATTATAGTCTAAAAAGTTTAGAAAATATAAGATGAGTAATTGCATGGACTTACTTCTATTATTGGGTTGTTCGGAAAGTAATTTCGTTTTTTCTTGTCAGAGGACTTAATTACATTTTTTCGAAACCAACTTCACACTTAAGCCGCATAACCATTATATGTCTTGAGAGCTGATATTACAAGGCTTGTGTGTGAAAAAGTTCTATTAATTTTACGCAGTAGTTTTTGGTTGGTGCCCTTTTAAATATGGAGAGCAATAAGCAGCATTTTCGTCATATTTTACTTCAGAAAAGGTAAAAATGCTGTCCAAGCGAGAAAAAAATTGACGGATGTGTATGGAGAAGGCGTGTTAACAGTACGCCAGTGCCAGAACTAGTTTGCAAAGTTTCGATCCGGCAATTTTGATGTCGAAGATGCACCACGGTCTGGAAGGCCGGTCGAAGCTGACAAAGATGCGATAAAGGCATTAGTTGCAAATCGGCGATAACCACACGAGAGATCGGTGAGAGATTAAATTTATTGAATTCGACTGTTTATGGCCTCTTGAAAGGCCTGGGCTTAACCTCGAAGCTCGATGTGTGGTTGCCTCATGTTCTTACGGAGCGAAATTTGTGTCGTCGCGTTGACGTATGTGATTCGCTCCTCAAACGTCAGGAAAATGATCCATTTTTGAAGCGGATTATTACTGGGGACGAAAAATGGGTCGTATACAACAATGTGAAACGCAAGAGGTCATGGAGCAGAAAAGATGAATCGTCTCAAAGGGTTTCAAAAGCCAACATTCACCAAAAAAAGGTGATGCTGTCCGTTTGGTGAGATTTCAAAGGAATCTTTTTTTTTGAGCTTTTACCGGACAATACAACTATTAATTCGGAAGTCTATTGTCATCAGCTGGACAAATTGAATGATACACTTAAACAGAAGAGGCCAGAATTAACCAACAGGAAGGGTGTAGTGTTCCACCAGGATAATGCGAGATCTCATACAAGTTTGGTCACTCGCCAAAAGCTTTTACAGCTTGAATGGGACATACTGCAACACCCACCATATTCTCCAGATCTGGCGCCTTCCGATTATTATTTGTTCCGGTCCCTGCAAAATTTTTTGGATGGTAAAACCTTTACCTCAAATGAAGATGTCAAAAACCACCTGAATCAGTTTTTTGCCAGCAAGGACCAAAACTTTTATGAGCGGGGAATCATGTTACTGCCAGAAAGATGGCAAGAGGTATTGGACCAGAATGGCCAATATATAATTTAATAAAATATTTATTCATTATACGAAAATTGTCTTTCTTGTTCCCCCCAAAAAAACGAAATTACTTTCCGAACAACCCAATAAAATTATTTGATTAACTATCAGATTATAAATTTATGTTAATTGCTCTATGTAGCATTAACTTTATATTCACTTTCAATTTTGAATGTTTAGTTTCATTTTAAATTTTTTTAGCAAAACTTTATTAGTTAATTCAAAAATGTAAAAGTAAACATATTTCTCACTCGCTCTTGCGCTCACAAATCATTATGCGAATATGTATTTACAACTTTTAAAGAGCGAAAAAAGTATGTCGGCGATGTTATCGTCATGTGATGATTTGGTACTTTATGTTTTACCTCGATATTTTACACGACAATGTTTTTAAACTGCGAAGTTTTTGAATCACTTAATTTTTGACTACGATATTTTGTACTGCGATGTTTCAGAACAGTGTTTTCTCCTTGCTTTCTTTTCTCCTACGATGTTTTGTATGACGACATTTTCGCCTTGTGTTGTTTCCTCCGCGACTTTTTCGTCCGCGATGTTTTTGCCTCGATGCTTTTTCCTGTAGCCATAAAAAGCATGTGTAAAATTAACGTCTTTGTAAATTTCCGGTAATTCTGAATAACTGCAGTCCTCGAATATTTCTACCTCAAAATCTTTATCCACGAAACAGATAGTTCTGAAACATGGAATAGACTCCAGATAGACATTTCTACAGCTGACAGTTCTTAAAGATATATATGTAATGTTACATGCCAGCTGGTTTTTCTGTGCTTCGTCTGAGAAAGTGACACAACTTGAGAAAGCCGGTTCTCGTTATTGAGGTCCTCGGTATTTTTTTCAGAGATATTCTCCTTTATCGAAACATTTTAGCGTAAAAGATAAAATTTATTCTACTATGCATGACGAATTTTGCGAAAGAAATATTCTTATCAGAGCTACCCCACTGAAAAGCATAAAGTAAGAAGAGTTCGGCGCTGAATTATTTTTATTTTGCTTAAGGGGAAAAAATGGGAAAATAGTAAAACTTAATGGATTAGATTAAAACTTTGTTATCGAACATATATGAATAAAGAACGAAAATAAATACTTATCCACCATCTAACTTCCACCAAACTTGTCAACTCTCATATTCTTCAGCTTCATTTTTTGCCCCTTCTACAAACTTCCATCCGCTTTGACTTAAACGAAATAGCATATTCCACTTTTGCATAAGCAAAGAATACCAAAACTAAAAACAAAGTCTGCATTTTATAAGAAGAAAGAATCTCCATTTACGATGAAGATAAGACCACGAAGCAACTACCATCGAAATTAAGTACGCAAACAAAAGAACCAGCGGATGCTTCACTTCCCTTTGAAAAGGAAACTGGCGTCATCCCATGTGAGCTAGCTTGACATTATCTTGGGCTAGCATCACGGCGTCGCAATAAATCAACGTCGTCCAATTCGCGTAATCTTGAGGACTATAATTGAGTTTAAAGTTTCAAATAGAAAGCAATTATCCAAGCTTCATCGTCTAGCTCGTATGTCCGTTCCCCAAATTAAATGCCAGGAACACTCCTAAGGAGGAAGAATTGTATTTAGATACAAACTGATGCCATTCAGCTCTTCGAAGTCCATAAAGTTTATGATTTAATGATAAGAATAACAGAAGCCAAAATTGTTTCTGATGAAACACGTTGATACTTATTTGTATTCTGATTTTAAATTAACCTCAGCATAAAAGTTAATTACTGGAAAGATTGTTTCAAAACTTTTTGCTTATCGTAGGAAACTTACTTGTATATGTCAAATGAAATGCTTTTAAAACCTATAAATATTGCTTTGCTTTTTTGAATGTCACATCGTTATGAGCAAGTATTTGCTTTATAATTAGACTTTACGACAAAATGGAACTATTTAATAGCCCTCTTTTTTTCTCTTTCTCTTGTTTCGTTTGTTTAAAAAGTATTTTGGAATGTAGCTACTAACTCCATACGCAGTTTCTAACAAAATTCAATGATTTTAATATCGGTCATTTAATTTAGAAGTCAAACAAGAAAAATCAACGTTATATTTTCACATTTTCACAAAATATGACGTTGATTTTTGTTGTTTGACTTCTAAATTAAGACCTTTTTTGGCGTGTTATTGCATCTTAATTAGCTGTCATTTAGTTAAAGAGCTTCTATTCAATCCCCACATGATTATAAACAAGAAATACTTTTAAAAATATTAAATGTATTATGTATCAAAGCCATTTTAAACGCAATGATCAAAATATATTTCACATTGAATATGGGTAAACGTATAAAATACTTTAAGATGAATAAAAATATAATAATGTTTTTGCTTCTTTAACAGTTTTGAGATGCTCCATGTCCGAAGCAAAAATTTTAACAAATGAATATGATCTTTTTGATGCGAGCAAAGAATTTTTTAAAATAATTTGAAGTTTTTGCTTCAAATTAATCTGTATGAACAAAACCAAATATAGCTGCGATTTTGAATAGGAATAAAGTACATTTTTATTGTCCTAAAACATATATAATTATCACATTGAGAATTTAAATTATGGGAAAAGATAATTAGATATCAAATGAAAATATTGAAGTCTATTGGTTAAGGATTTCAAAAAGCATTGAGGATTTTTTAAACTAACTATTCTTGTTTTCTAAATAAAATAAAGCGTTTTTAAGAGTTTTTACTTCCTTGTACGAAGTGAAGGAAGTATTGTAATCGCGAAAATTTCGGTTCTTTCAACGAAAATATCCATTTTGACCTGATTGACATTTGTACGTACAGACAGAATAAAGGACTTTTCCCCCCCAAACTGATTGAAAACTGGATTTAAAATGGATTCAGAAGAGATTTTTTTTTCATGACGTCTGTACGTACGTACGTTCTTATCTCGCATAACTCAAAAACGAATAGCTTCAGAACATTGCAATTTTGTATGTGGGACTCCTATAACATTCAGTTGTGCACCTCCCTTTTTGGCTGCAATCTGCCGCAACAAAAGTATACATATATATATAGTATACATACCCACTCTATTACCCGGCTCTTTTTATTCTTTTATGTTAGTAAATTGTGCATGTTTTGCTTTGAAACTAATTAACTTTGTTGTTTTTATGCCTTTAGTTAATCTGCACTCAATAGTTGTAGAATTATCAACAATTTAAAAGTTGTTTCAGTGCCACTAAGCCTAAGGAAACCGCCATTTGTATACATTTGAAAACTCTTAGCAGCATAGTAAATTAAGTAATTTCCTGCGCCTTCAGTGTCTTTTTTCTGAGTGAAAACAAAAGCAAACTTTCAGTTTTGTGCACCCAAGAAATCTGCCTTTTTGCCCGCTGGCGAAATCGCTTGTTTTTGCGTAAAAACTAATTTTAATTCTTAAAAACAATTTTTCAACTGTTCTAACTGTATTTGGCGTTTTATGTTTTTCTCTATTTTACAATTTTTAATGAAGATGTTTTGAGTTTTTATGCACTTTGCTGCGAACTGAATTAACTGAATGGGAAATACGTATATTTATAATGAAATTCGAGGAAATAAGTTGAAATTAAAAGCACCAGAAATGTGTATAATTTAATAGTCTTTACATGGAAGTAATGTGGTGCCCACATCGGATTTCTTTTATAGATAATATGATAATTTCTTTTATAATAATTTATTAGGAGGGTAGCCACTGCTTAGAAGGTAGGATGAATTATCGCAAATACCCATGGGACAGATACTTAAGAAACTTATCAGTGCAAATAACTCTAGCTTCTTTCTAGAATCATTAAACCTTCACAATATGACCCTTTTCCTTACAATAGAGTCTTGTGTTTTATTTAATTTGCTCAGCCATGCGGAAAATGAATATATGTTTACGATGGAAATACATTATCACATGCACGGAGCTTACGTATTAAACATTTTAAAACTGGGTGAGTGATGAAATATTTAAGTGGTGTAAATGCTCAAAAAGGCATTAAGACTTTCATTTAAAATGCAAAAGCACCTATATATGTATATACGTAGATACACAATCATAAATGAGCACAATTAATTTTGAATTATTTTATTTCAAAGTAAATTAATATATCTTCACATAGATTTACAATACACTTAAAACTGCCGAAACTTTTCAAATCCTTCAAATTTAAATAAGAAAGCATATTTTTCACAAAAATTCTTATTTATCAGCAGCAAGTAAAACAAGCTATGCATAAGCATTAACACAGAAGCCGTTTGTTTTTATAAACAAATTTATCTCGTCATCAATTAATGAAAATTATTTTCAAATACAAACATGATACTTTTAATTCTTTTGACGTTTCCTTTAATGAAGACGAAATGAATTCACAAATAAAATCTAAATCTGAAGCAAAGAAGTACAAAACACATAGTAAACATATAAAGGAAATTAGCGTATGCGAAGGAACATTTTACCTCATAATAGACGAAAGCAATACATGACTACACACATAACGTAATGCACATAATTTCAGAACAATAATTTTTAAACACAAAATCAAGTTAAATATCTTAAAAGCAAATTCATTCATTTAAAACAAAATTTGTGCATTTTTAATTCAAAAATAGCACTCTGTGGAAATAATAATAACGCCTAAAAGCTTTTTAATGAAGTCCGCTGAAATAAAGATGCACATAATTGTTTAAAAAGTGGTAAAAAGAATATGTTCACCGGATTTAAAATGCTAATATTCTAAAGAGCATGTATAAACTTAAGATGGCTCCTTAAAAGACTAAATCAAATAACTGGGGGAAATCATCGTGTTTCTTCAATATCAGGAACACTTAATTCATTTAACTGTCAACAAACCTATTATAAAGTACGCTTTCTATTGAAAAACGATGTAAATCACAGAAACAGAACTATTTCTAATGCTTGAGCAGCATGTAATTACAAGCAGAAGCAATTACTAAGCAGCATGTTCATTACAAGCAGAAGTTGCAGCTACATGCAAAAGTTCAATGGCAAAGGAAGATATCTGTTGAAATCTAATGCTAGATTGAACAGAATGTGAAAACACAAAACAGCACAAATATATTTGTTATAAAACTTCAAAATGGATTTTCAATAATTATATTATTGAACCATTTAAAGGAAAATTTTATTAAGTAAAGCTGATATTTCATGTATTTAACACAGTTAAGGCACAATATCCTCTGTTTAGCACAGTTTTATTAAAGAATAATTAGAATAACTATGAAATCTTTATTTAACAAGTTAGAAAGTTTGCTTAGCTCAGATAGAACACAGGTAGAATACAAATCAAAGGTTAACAATCTTTACAAAAATTTAAATGGAAGTGTTGAAATATAGAACTTACAAGAGATTCATTATAAATTTTAAACAGCATCAGGCTTACCTATTAAGCAATATTATCAGAAGTATATTGCACAAAAGAAAATAACATGAAAAGGAATGAAGCACAAATACAACGTTAGCACAAAAACTTTTTAAGACTTTTTGCATTTGTCTCGCCAATATATACATCGTTTGGCGCTAGTTTTTTTTCTTTTGACATTACCGAGTTTCATTATATAAAAGTGATACTAATTTATTCTAACAAAAGCAATGCGGCATTTAGAACTAGATCCTTTTATAAATTTTAATTATATTTACATAATTAAAGTTATATTTGTAGATTTATTTATTATGTGATTACAAATGCGAGCGTTATTTATGATACGAATATTATGCAAATTTTGAAAATATTCAAATTAAAGGCTGTAAGCACAGTTCTTTAAACTGATTCAAAAGAAATGTATAAAACTTGGTAGAAATTTAAGAGTTCTAGAATTATGAAAATTTAAAGCCTGTGAAGTTTATTAAAAAATTTTAATTTCCATAATTGTTGTATGGAAGAGAAAATTTTGCAGAATAAAACTTTCATTGTTGTAAAAACTTGGTAGAATTCATGGAAAGCAAAATTTTAGTTTAATTGACTGGTACCGAAATAATTTATTTCCAAGCATCTTAAAACAATTTATTGATAGAACTGCGGCTAAGATCAAAGTTTAATCCTATAATGTGAAAACATATTTTTACAGCTTCAAATATCTTTAGTTTTGCCTATATGTTCATACTCACAGGAATTATATTTTCGCAAAAATGGGACTTACATTTTGGAAGTTCGTAAGAATTATTTATGCGAAAGAAAATGAATTTGTTTCTCTATAACATAGATATTTTGCAGTCAAATATTTTCATAAAAATGGGAATGAAGTGCTACGTTAACTAAACAGACGCTCAAAAAAAAAAAAAAGTCATATTCTAATATGAATTCCTGTAAAAATAATAACAACTATCTAAAATCAGTAATCGAAAACGTTTATATTTATTCTTTCCCATCAAATACAAAGGGAAAATTCGCTTTCAGCTTGCATTATTATAAAGGTATTATACTGTTTTTTTATTCTGCTTTCAATTTCATTACGCATTCAATCTTTTTTTTTTAAGTAACTTTTTATGTTTGCTTTATCAAAGCGCAAGTAATTTAGTCTAAAATATTTTGGGGGTAAAAAACACTCTGTGACACACAGCAAAGATTTAGTAAACAAAAATGACAAAACGTTTGTTAATAAATGGACGACAAAAACACAAATTAAATTCCAGCGGCGAAGCAAAAGAAATAGTTCCAAATTATAAATTCCGACGAGATTCAAAAGAAAGTAGAAAATGAACTGCAGAAATTATATTAGATTACCAGAAGCGGAAAAATTGCGAGACATTAAAGAAATAAACATCTAAAGCAGGAAAAAGGAAAACAAAAATAAAGATAAGAAAGCTGCTTCAAAAACATAGAGCTAAACATGCTGAGTAAAAATTTCGAAACTCTTATATTTCAAAGCATGAAAATTGAATTATGGCAGCGAGGAGGGAGGGAGAAGAATAAACAAAAAATAACCGAAGAGCAGAAAAATTATGTAAAGTAAATAACATGCAAATTGAAATACATGAAAAGACAAAGAAATTCTCAGAACTCATCTAAAAAAAGGCTTCAGAATCAAATTAAGTTTAAACATTAATGCAAGTATTTCCATAAAAAATATGCGAGGAATAAAACATAAAAATTATTTTCATAAGAATATATTCTTAATATATTTAAATTCGAGGAAATTTAAATTAAATTTTGTTATAAGAAAGTTCCTTTAAAAATGTGTAACGGAATGCAAATATTTATGCAGGCAAACATGGGCATATTATAGGTAAATGTTGAATCCATATATTAATTAATGTTTTCCGAATAGTAACAAGAAAAGTAAATATTCATTTCAGTATTTACGCCATAATCCTCAGTTACCACATGGAAAAAGAAATATTTGAATAACTAAATTTTGTATAAAGCTTATGTTCATAATAGTCAGTTCAAATATATATACATACTTATATAGCAGGAATATGATGCAAACATTGTCACATCATTAAATATTCATTTTTTACATGGAACGAAAGCAGAGAAATCAAAAATGAAAATTTAAGAACACGAAACATAAAAGCAATTTTATAAGAGCTCAGAGATGTAAAAATTAAAATATAGAACGTTATTTGTTTAGAAGCGCTGGGAAACATGCTAATATTGTATAGAAAAAGTGTAAAATAAACAAGCGAATCCAAAGACATTAAGAGAAAGAAAAAATGAAATATATGTTAGATACTTAATGAAGTTCATATTTTAAACGTTATAGGACTTCAGCGGACATTTTACTGCATTTATATTGGGTATTTGTTTTCTGACTGCATATACGGTGAATATGTATAAAATAATTTAATTACCTTTATTAATTTCTGATGTGATGATGAATATTTATGCAATATATTTGACGCTTTAATAATTTCGGATATAATAAATTACACATGTCTCTGAAATTTAAATAAAATTTCGGCAGATAGAAATCAATATAAATCAAATAATACGAATTTAAGAAATTAAATTTAAAAATTCCAAAATTGCATTTTCACATCGAACTGCTGTAAATATATGAAACAGATAATATAATCATAAGCGTTTTACATTAAATTTAAATGTATATGCGATATGGAATAGTAATTCCTTTCGTAAGTTAAAAGGATTTAATAAAAATTAACATATAATAAAATCACTTAATAAATCTTATTTTTCTCTAATCGAGAGATAAACAAATATATAAACAATAATCATTAAAAGAGCATTTCATAATCAACAAAGAAACATAAACGAAAACTTTCAAATTAAGAGGACATAAACGAACATAGAAGTAAGATTTGGCACCGTATCCTGCGTAATCTGGGCATGCAGAAATATACAGGCAGGCAAAGCAATTTTGCTGAAGTTTCATTTTCAAATAATATATTGCATATAAAATAGTAGCATTGAGCAATCGGATGAAAAGTAGGAGTTATACATGAATTCAAGATATCCAGTTAAACTGATACTCAAATACCTTTTGTATATCATGAATTCATCAAACCTTTTTCTTTTATTTGAAGGAGGTTCTTCTCAATAAATTTTGTTAATTGGATGTACGATGAAGTATATCCGAGAAACAGTTCTTGCGCCTATCGAATTCTTCAACCTTGGTAACGGTTAGGCTGGCCTCCACCGATATTATAGGATAACAGATTCAGTTGGCTGCCAACAGGTTGTCCAGGAGCGGTGTTATGGGCGAAAGGGTTGTAAGAACCAGATTGTTGCTGGTTATATTGCTGGGGTGGTGTGTATTGAGGGTAGGCTTGAGTTTGCTGAGGCTGAACGTAGTTGTTGTAAGGCTGGGGTTGATACTGAGCAGGAGGTTGGTACTGAGGTTGAGGCTGGTATCCAGGTTGAGGAGCGACTGGCTGGGGTGCTGGTGGAGCCTTAGGGATAGCATCACCTTCAGCCTTGAAACCATCTTTTCCAGCAGTGTATCGAATGACTTGCTGTTTGCCAGAAGCATCGATGTATCCGTAGGCACCAGATACTGAGCCATCAGGGTTTCTGGTCTCTTCTCGGAAACTACCGTCATTTCCGGTATTGTATCCAAATTTGTAATCACCTTGGAGTTGTGCGCCAATACTCACGTAGTGCACTGGAGCTGGGTTGGCATGCTGATTGTGCTGCGGCTGGGGTGCATATTGATTTTGGTTGTATGGGTATTGTGCAAAGCAAGAAGCCAGGAGGCAAGAAAATAATACCTAAGTAAAAATAAAGCACAACTTCAGATTATGATGTAAAAGTTCTTTAAAAAACAATCAAATACTGATTTAATAAATATCAAGAGACTACTAAAATCTATAATTATTGTCACATGCTATCGCCAAATAGAAGGATCGTTTCAGTTATGTTTTAAGTATGATATACGTTACCAAGTCTAAACGTTTTTCTTGTTTTTACCATTAATAAGCTTTTTACTCGCATAGCGCAAAAGAATTGTCACTTTAATAAACTCTCCAATTTTTAATGCATAGAATGTGAATGACGTGTGTAGGGGTTTACAAATAAATGACAGATATTAATATCTAATTTACGTAATAATTTTCAGTTTTGCTTAAATAACCAAGATCGTCAGAAATCTTGGCGAATTCCAACAGAATGAACAAAAGCCGTCATTTGAAGAAAAAGTGGAAACATGACCGGTTTCAGAGACACGAGTTCTTACCGCATTTGGAGCCGAAGCTCCAATCTCCGTGTCCCAGGTTGGATAATAACCCATTCCCTTTCGGTAGACAGGAGGATAAACACGTTTCTATTAGGCAAAGCTCAACGTCCGCCTTCGGAACGGATTTCTCCGATTGCTTGGGACCGACTGACCCATGTTCAACTGCTGTTCCCAATGAACCCTTCTTCATCTGCAGTCCTCAAGGTTCTCATAGAAATGTTTCCCAAAGTACTTCGAAGCTGAATGAGAATCTTCAATATTTGCTTTAACAGTTACCAACCGAGAAATTCCTGTTGAATTATTATTCCTTATGATTTATTATATATTAGAGCTAGAGGGAATTCATAGTATTAATAAAGAAAGAGGAATTTAGTGTGAAAGTTTATAAGGTATAAAATTATTCTTTGAAGGAAAATGCATCTTGTAAATGGACCTATCCGAAGAAGTCTGCTTGATATAAGCTAAATAATAAAATTAAATTTTAAAAGATTTAAATTCTTATTGTTATATCAGTCCATTATTGGCAGAAATTTCTGGAACCGTATTCATTCTTTTAATACTATACTAATGGCCATTTTTATCTAAATTAAATTTATCATTACACATGCAAGTGAAGTTGCTGAAATATTTACGTTACAATACGAAGTAACGTATTGCAGATAAAAGGATATACGAATAAAGTTCTCCTAATTATTAAAACTCATGCTTGAAATTGTAGTAGAGTGGAATTTAAACTCATAAGATTCGCTGCATGCATTTAAAAAAATGATCTGATAAAATGAAAATAGTTATAAATAAAAATTCCCGCCCAGTTAGTATAGTGGTTAGAGGAACTTAATTGCGATATGAAAGAGCCCAGGTTCTATTCCCGAAGAAAGAATTGAATGTAAAATTATCTGCCCGCAATTGTGGCCGCATATTAGGTGCCTCCACAATAAAATGGTCACCAATTCTGGAACTTAGGAGTGCCCAATGCCATTACAGGCAAGTGCCCGCCATTGAAAAAAAGTTTAAAAAACAAAAATAATATTTTTCTTTCGTTTTAAAATTTATAAGAAAAAAAGGCTTGTAATATAAATTCTTTTATTTGAAACTGATGACATGTTTAAGTCTAGAGATATGACGGAAAAACGGAAAACAAAGAGAAGACTAATAATAACAAGAAAAATCAGAAAAGAATAGGAAATTAACAAAAAACAGAAGCAGATCTTTTCCTGCAAAAAGAAACTAAAAAGAGTCATTTAAAAAATACTTTAAATATGAAAGAGATAAATGTATCCTCAAGCTTTAAAGACGCCATTTTTTATTCTTGTTAAATTTTATTGTACTATGTACTCTGCTTGATCCAAAGCGCTTTATTCTTTACTTGTAATTCAATGATATCAATGAAGCTATCTTAGAATCGATAATCGATGAAGCTATCCTGAGAATCGATAAGCATAAAATGCAAATGATCTAGAGGCAAAATAAGTCCAAACAAGTTTAAACAAATAAATTATTTAGAAAAATTAATTTTTAATTTAATAAAAATAATATTCAAAGTTGAAATTAATGGCATGGGTTTTATATTTTTAAGGAAATATGTATATCATAACATTTAGCATCTCTATTATTTCCTCATTAATATATTTTCTAATTACTAGATTTTTTACCTCGATAAATCTGAAATTTTATATTGATAAAATACTAATTTTAAGAGTCAATGTATTAATAATCGCAAAATTAAAAAGCTTTGTAAGTTAACACTAAGACGAGTTTTTTTAAAAAGTAAGAATAAAAGAAAAAACATTTGCGAACAGAAGCTAAGTAATGGAAAGATCCCTGGAGGGCAAATTCCACCAAATTAATATTTACTTTTATCTTACTTAATCATTAACAACAGATAAGATAGGAAGAGATTCCAAAAATGACCTTTTGGCGCGAACAATTATTTTCAATTAAGCAGTCGCAATTACGAAACTGTTATTTATTGATGCTTCAAGTCTACATAATTACCGATCAAATGCAGACATTGCTGAGTCGAATAGTTATTTATTACGGCGATGTATTTAGAACTCTCAGTATTTCCATTTTTTTACTAGCAAACTGTGATTGGGATAATATTAATTGCCTTGGTCCTTTGCTTAATGTAATAGATTTTTTTATTCGTATTTTTTACATTCCATGTAAGCTGCAAAATGGTATTCATGATTTCATAGAGCGCCTGAAAAAAAAATTAAAACTTCCCTACAAAATCGAATTACGTATCTGATTTTTGTTGACATTATTAATTTGTCTGATCGTTAAAAGGTTATTTTTGTATCTGAATTAAGGTCTGGATGGCAACAGAACAAAAGTGTTTTGGTCAATAATTTGCGCAAGATATTACCAAGGATTAAAGGGGGCTATATAAATATTTTTAAAATTCTGACATATTTGGTTTAAGCTTCAGTTGCTTATACAATGCTGCATGATAAATAAATTGTGTCACATTCCTAATGGATTCATTTAAACCATGAGTTTGAATTCGGTAGTTAAAGAAGCATAATGTACATTTTATGATAGTTTCTCAATTTCAAAATACTTTAAGATACTTACATTTTAAAATAACGCTTGATAATTTGCTACCAGTCCAGAGGAAATGTATAAGGAATTATAATTAGTCCTTTAATGAATTTGGTAGACTATGTGTACTCAGTAAGAGAAATATAAAACTACTCTATCAGTTATTAGTTAATTAGAGCTTTTTATAGTTTTTTTTTAATTTTTAGTGTTAGATTAAGGCTGAATTTTGCTTTTTATTTTTAATACGTTACAATACTTTTTTTTCACGCCCTCCGATCAATTATTTCTAGATATTAATTAAGCAGTATATTTAGTTTAAAAATATCTAAATTTGTTCAAGCTAGACTAGTTGCACTCGAGATATGATAATTCATTCTTTTCCTTGCTCTCCAATGTTCTTAAGTCTAACAGTAAAATTTAACATTTTTCCAGTATCTCTAGTATGGTATAACTTCCATATGCTATAATTCCAAAATATATAGAAAGGGGGGCGATAAAAAGCTATAGTATGCTATATTTTATAAACGCTACGAATAATAATAGTTCTATGATAATTTGTTACAATCTCAAAACATATGCTCGTAAAATGCATAGTAAAGAATATTTAAAATTTTGCCGCCCAGCCAGGATAGTGGTTAGCGAAGCTGAATGCTATACCGAAGGGCCCGGGTTCGAATCCCGAAGAAAGCGTGGCTGTTTATAAATGTATATTGTCCGTGTTGCGTGGAAACACTCTAAATATGCGGCGAGCCGTAAGTCCTCTCGAAAAGGCTCATGGTACTGGAAGAGGGGTGGGAAATCTTCTGACCTGTCCCCCTCGGATGCTCTGCATCAAAACTGGAGGGGGATTAGTTAAGTTGTACTGTTACCTGTATGGTGCTCAAGCTTGTCAACGGCAGTCGTAATCTTGCACTCTCTGTCACAATGAACTTCGTGGGCTTGTACTGATGTTACTGTCAGACAACTGAGATAAGTCACACCAACAGCAACATATTTAGAAGAGATGAGCAAGCCATTTTTAATGGGCTGCGTTTTTAATACAACTTACGGTTAAAAAATTACATCACATGTATATATATTTTAGTTATCCAGCGCTGTTAGTTTACTATTACACAATGCAACTATTATTTTGTTCCATGTTTTTATTACTGCAAGTAATTAATATTTACCAACAATATCCTCATAGAAAAGACAGTACTTGTCTTAATTCTTCTAATCGATTAAAACAAATTTCTAAACGATTTAAATTATAATCAGATTAAAGAAATTTAACTCTTAGCATATAAGAAATTGTTGTAACAGTAAATTAAAAATTTATTACACTCAATTTTAACGAAAATAAAAGAGAAGAAATGGCCTTTCGAAAGCGGAAGCTAATATCTTATTCAGCATTTCAAAGAAGAAATAACGAGCAAAATTTAATTAGAAGAGCTGATACCAACACCACCTATTGAGGGACAACTAAAACAGCTAACGTCTTTCTTGATATGAGTAATTTAATAATTTATTTATTTATTGTATACTACAATTTCGAATAAGCAACCTTAAGTTGTCAACTGCACAAAGTAAACAACTTATTAAAATATTCTTAAAGAAACATTAGAATTTTATTTTAACGTTAAAAGAGATTAAACCAACGAAAAATGAATCAAAATACTTTCAGAAAAGCTGGTTGCTTAGTCTAAACTATTTTCAAAGCATTTCTGATTAGATAATTTATAATGTCTGTATATCCTAAAGAGTTTCCTAATTTTCTATACCCTAATTTTCTTCGCATCAGCTTCCGTTTGATACTTCGAGATATGTATGAGACATTAATGTGACGTTATCAAAGAATATCGTCACATATAGAAAGATCCTAATGTGGATGAATTCATAAAACTATCTCAAACAGGACAGCATCTTTGTCATTGTTACACTGAGCAAAGTTTTACTGAAAGTCTTAGCACTGAATGCCAAATGTGCCATTAAGTTTAGGTATATCCGTTGAGGAACTGTTTAAGACATAGCGGAAAGGTCTATTGAGTTTACGCTAAGATAGACAGTTAACTTACCAAGCTGATCATCCTGAAGCTATAAGCTTAGCAAAGCTTTAAGTCTGCTGTAAAGGAAGAGTTGAAGAGTGTGACATCGGATGGTCAACGCTGCCTTTTTATACCAAAGAATCATCCCAGCTCTACCGTAGATTCCGATTACCTGACGTCACAGATACGTCCGTATGTCTAACAACAGAATCAAATAATTATTTTTCTTTTGTTATTAACCTAAATATGTCCAAGGTTGCCCTTCTTCTGATTGGAGGAACCTCTGAAGGTAAAAGCTGAGATTTTGCGGGAAGTGGGGTGGGGTCGGACTGTGGCAAGTGTCGTGCCAATAGCCTACGTTGACGCCTGCTATGTTTATGCTTTGTCCTTCAAGTCTCTCCGGTCCTCCTACATTATTAATAATATACACAGGTCGATGTCTGCTTTTTCGTGGTGTTTATTTACTGATTTGTTTCCTTATTTTTATATTTATTTGATTCTCTTCATCGGAATTTTTCAACGAGTTTCGCAAAGGTACATTGCTATGAATTCAAACCAAATCTCATCGCATGTATATGACCTTCGATGCGAAAATAATTATCGAGTTTTCTCTTCGAATATGCTTTTTTGTGTAGTTATTTATTACATTTTGCCCTTCTTTTATTCTGATAAAACTTACAATTACTGGTTCTTTGTGAGGTGTGGTAAGCACTTTTTCTTTCCCCTAAGAGGATTTTAGTTTTTTCTTCCTGCGGCCTTTCTCGATGAGAGATGTTATGTGACGAAAGGTAGATAAAGAAAAGAATTCAGAGATTAGAAGTTCATAAATAAAAGAATAGATGACAACAGACTCTGACAGCTTAACTCGTTTCATACTTTATGTGGCATTGCGACAACATAAAAACATTTTCTTTACGGAAGAAATAAGTCGAGCCTAACATTCGTTGCGAAATTCTGTCCCGATTTAAAAATTTATTCTTCATTGTTCAAAATGTATGCTGTTTATAAAAGTTTTCTTTTTGCTCATTTGAAATAAGTATTTTAGGATTAATTATACCACTCAATTTTTAAAACGAATTTGCATAATTAATTAAGCAGCTCAGATTTTGGCATTTAAAAATCTATAGCTTTCCTATTTTCAATCATGCTATAAGATATTTTCTCTCTTCTTCTTGCATGCTTTCGTGGTGTAACGGTAGCACACTTGGCATGCATTTGAGAGTTCCAGGTTCGAGTCCCGGCGAGGCCACTGTACATTTTTCCCGTCTTCCTGCTTCAAAATAATCTAATGACTCTAAAGTAGCGCACGAACTAAAAGATGGTGGACAATACTTTGTCACCATCAGGATGTGGCGATTGGGTTCCCTAATCCCCAGTTGCCCTTTAAAAGGAGGAATATATAAGATATTTTCTCTCTCCTTCTGGCATGCGTTCGTGGTGTAACGGTAGCACACGTGGTGTAACGATAGCGCATTCGGGAGTTCCAGGTTCGATTCCGGCACATTTTTCACGTCTTTCTGCTTCAAAATCACTTAATGACTCTACAGTGGCGCCCGAACTAAAAGGTGGTAGATGAAGATTCTTCACCACCAGGATTTGGCGATTGGGTTTCCAAATCTCCAGTCACCCTTTAAAAGGGGGGAGTATATATGATATTTTCTCCCTCCTTTCGAGTCTCGGCGAGGGCATTGCTCATTTTTCACGTCTTCTTGCTTCAAAATAACCTAATGACTCTACAATGACACCTAAATCTCCATACTGTCATGCATTCGTTTTCGCCATACATCGTTAATAATCGCAAAACTACTTTCATATTTCATACTAACTCCCTGTAAACTATCTGGTTTTCAAATTGGATCAGTATCTCTCTTTTCAATAGTGTGACAAAATAAACCATTTAGAACGATGGGTGTTTTATTTTAGACGGTGAAAGTAAAAGCATTAAATAAAAAAGGTGCAAAAAAAGTCCTCAACATGTTTTTTAGGGAAAAAAATTCAAAATTTCTTTATAAAGAAAATCTAAAAACTTCTTTGTAAAATAGTAGTCAGAAATTTCTGAATGAAAAACGTTTAGAAACTTCGTCAGTTTTTAAAAAATTTAGTGAACTGTAGCACATTTTTTTTATACAATTATTTTATTCCCAAGCTTATTTCAACCCATTTTTAATTTTAAATATTTGTTATGTTAGAAAAATCTTTTTTGTAATTAGAGGAAGCTTAAATATTCCAGAGAAAAAATATATCAAAACATTATGCTGTTACTTATTTGCAATCAATGAATGCAAAAAATAAGAATTTGTTTGCTTGTGGAAGACTGGTACTTATTACAAATACCAGTGGGAAAACGAAAATGCTAAATTCACTTAGAAATGAAATTGTGCTGCTTTTGATATTGCACCGTTGCTATGGTTATAGTATATGTGCTCACAGTTTAGTTTCTTGCGTTTGCGCGGTTAGTACAGGTTCATTTCGACGACGAGGAAAAAGAAAATCTATCGTTTTATAAACCGGAACAGTTTCTTTTCACGTTAGGTTTAAACAAGCTTAACACTTTGTTGATTAATGCTTTTCTTTTTCCAGCTTTCATTTCCTTGTACGTCTCTTTTAATTTTCCAAAGCTTTTAATGCGGTTCAGTTTAATTTATTAAACTTGAAAATATTATTAATTAAGTAATTGTACAATTACTTAGTTAATAATATTTTCACCAATTCTATCATGAAACATGGATGTAAATTACATTAGCTTTCTATAATTATTATAACACATTTATATTTTTAAGCAATAGGATTCATGCTACAAGCTATTTCGGTTCAAAGAGAGCATGAATATTGAGTAATTTGTTTGGATGCTCATAATTTATTATCTATGTACAACTTTCTTGAACTCTCGGAATTCAGATTTGTTAAAGATGAAAGCAGTCCATAAAATTTTGAATACTCGTTTTCGTTATACTAATTGACTCAATTCATACAAGTTACTTTGTTTTACACTGGTAAAATACGCATTAACAACTGTGAAATTGCAAACATACAGAGTAAATACACTGCACTAAAATGATATTAAAGTTTACGAGTACAGCCGAAATTGTGGTCAATGATAGCGTTGGAAAACGAGAAAAATAAAACTTTGCAATTTCGTACTTATTTTTGCTTCATCAGTCTGAAGTAAATGGAATTTTACAAACTGCAATCATACTGAAATGCTATGAACTCTCATTATAATATAAAGTTTGAATGTTTGAAAATAACACTGATAGAGGTTAATTTTACCATATTTCGCATTAACCACAATCTGCCTGTTAATGTCAAAAATGAAGCGAAGCCAATATAATGTTTTTAGCCCAAAGTAGCGTTAGCTCAGAAGGACTATTAATTTCGTTTTGGCATTTTGCGTCGATTCACTTTTCAAATTGTTGCCAACAAATATTACAGCCCCGTATTATATTTAAAAGAATTAAATAATGAAGAATCTGTATAAATACATGTATGTTTCTCGCATTGTGATAAAACAACGGTACCTAGAGCCATCCAATTTTGAATAATGTAATCCTCCTACGAATATCGGCATGTGGAAGACCAAATTTGAAATTTGTTGCAATATCGATTTCCTATTTTGTAACACTGATAAATTTTGTAGCCAAGGATAAAAGTTTTCTGAGACTATCTTGATTCCGGACTGTAGATGTTCGTGGTGGTTCATCGTGGTGGTTCGTGGTGGGATGTTCAATATTCATTGATGTTCTCATTCAATGCATTTAGCTCACTTGGCGGAAGAAAAGTTCTCATTTCTTCACTTGCATAAAAACTTAAAACATCTTCATTAAAAATTGAAAAATATAGAAAAGCATAAACAACTCTTAAATTTTTGATAATTCTACAACTATTGCATGCAGATTAACTAAAGAATAATATATATATATATATATGTAAGATAAATTGTATGAATCAGAATTATAATATAACTATAAACATAAATTCTTCCTCTCTATTCTAAAATCGTAATAACTTATCTGCATTGCGTCATTCAAATTAATCATGCGATCTTACGTAACCTTTAATACCAGATGCCTCTTGACGACCAATCACCGAATTGTAAACCAAAACTTTTCTCTTCGCATGCTTCCATATTTCATAACTATGCACTTCAGCTTTAGCTCTCTACTGTGCTAAGATGTAATTTCGCTGGCTTGCTTCCTATCTCAACAATATTAATAATGTAAATCTTCTGTGGAAAGGCACGACTAGAGTGCCAAGTGATTGTGGCCACAAATATCAATTGGAAATAAAATGGAAATAAAACGCCTCGACTGCCAAGTCCTTTAAATACTACGCAATCAAAATTCTTCTTCAATATGGATCTAAGCACGCATCTACACTGCTCCGTTATTTCCTTGTGCTTTTAATATTACATACATACATATATATATATATTATCAATCCTATATACAAAGTTTCAAAGTTATGAGGATACTTTTGAGTTGTGCGAGATACATACATACTTACGTACAGACGTCCCGAAAAAATTCTCTTCTGAATCCATTTTAAATCCATTTTTTATCCGTTTTGCAAAAAACGAGTCCTTTATTCTGTCCATACGTACAGATGTCACGTAAAAACATCGTTTAAATGGATTCGAGAGTGGTTAAAATGGAAATTTTTGTTCGCGATTATAATACTTCCTTTACTTTGTAAAAATCACAGCGGCATCTTTCTATTTTAGTCTGCTTTTGGTAAACCAATTTACAATTATAATTAGAAAAATTTTTAAGCCGGAAGAAAGCGATGGGTTTTTCAACTGGAAGAATATTTAATACACCTCAAAACTTTAAAATTATCTGAAGTCCTTCATGAATAGATTGTGAATGTGAATAGAGTGTCCTTCATGAGTAGATTGTCCATCATGTTTCCTTCTATTGAGAAATACCTTTTAGTAGCATTTAAAATGCTAATGTAGTGATATAAATTTAATACAATAATACTTTAGTGATATGAAAGATTATAGCAATGTAAATGCTAATATAATATTATAAATGATTATGATTATATGTGACATTAATGCAGTGACCCCTTGATAAAATGCCACCAGTGATTCCATATTAGTTTAGTCTAAGTCGTTTCAGAGGAGTAAGACTTAAAATGATTCGGTTAAAGACTCTCAGAAACACTGTTTCCTCTGAGAGATAG